TGACTCCTGTCTTCAGAGTCAAGAATTGACTGAAAACTGATCTGAAAAATCATTTAACATCTTGCCCTTTGCCAGTCATCAGCCCAGTCTTCAGGAGCAACCTTTCCCAGAGCACCAAGTGCTTTGGGGCCTCCCCCCATCCTTTCCAAGTCCATGTGCTTTCCACAGAAAGCCTGTGTTTAGCAGCCAGTCTCCAGCAGGGCTGTGCAAAACCCATCCATGCCTGGGAGAGCGTGCCCATGCAACTCGCACCCTGGGAACCGGTTCACCAGCTCTGCAAGCAGAGGCCTGTCTGGTGAGGGAGTCCGTGTCTCAGCTCTTGAGGAGCCATGTGTCTTTAAAACACCCCGAGGATGACAGATTTGAGGGCAGCTTTTGGAAATGAGGAACCAGCTGAGGCTGGGGATGCTCAGCAGGCATCCATGAGGATTTGGTTCAGCTTTTCAAGGGGACTCATGCCAGGGGAAGTCTGCAAGCTGGTGCTCACTAAGCTGTTTAGAGGTGTGGGCCCTGCCTCATCCCAAGGTGCTTAGGGATGCTTGGAAGTCTGTCCTGATAACTGCCCCAGCAGCCTAGTGAGCCTGCTGCTTCTCCCAGCAGCCCAAGTAAAGAGCATTTCCGACAACAAAAGCCCTGCCCAGGGGTCCCAGTTTTAAACACAGCGCTGGCATCCGATTGCTGGTGCATCTCGGCATCTTCTCATCAACGAGAAACGTCTCTTTTGCCCCCCTCCTCTTGTCTTTGGTCTTGCTCGCAGAAAGCCGTGACTGTATCCTGCAAGCGCCCCTATCTGCTCCTGCGATCTCCCTTTGTTTGGCTGCCAGCTCTCTGCACCTGCGTGCATGCCTGCTCTCCCTCCCCGCTGCGGTTAGTCCTTCCCTCTCCCAGCCCATGGGCAGGAAAGCGGGTTTTAGCCGGGTCCAAGGGCTAAGGGGGTGTTTGGCAATGGCAAGCATTCCCACTCCAACGGCAGCTCAGCCGTAAGTGGGATGGCACACGCAGGCAGCTTGGTTATTTGTGAATGAAGCACGAGCTGCTCTGTGATTAACCCTCTGGAGGGATCCTGCCCAGATCTGTCCCGATGGGAGCTGGAATCTCCATGTTTCCTTTGCTAATTGAGCCTGAATTGTATTAGCTAATCCCATCCCCAAATCCCCCAGCTGTCCAAAGCTTACTAAGAGCAACCACACAGGCTGACTGGGAGTTTGTGCTTGTCTCCCATTGGGACAGGGATTACCGTGACAAAGTGTGTGTAGTTTTGGAGTTTCGGAGTGGGGTTTTTCTGCCTTTTTTTTGGGGGGGGGGGTGGTGGGGGGCGGCTGGGGGAGGAGGGAGATTTTTTGCTTGGCAATCTGTAGCCAACTGCCATAATCACTATCTCCCAATCCACAGAGAATATGCATCGTAAGAAAGAAGACGTTGTCATCAAGTGATGACAGGTGATGTAGGACCAGAGTAAATGGGAGTCAGACGCTGTGTGCTCCCATGGTCCTCTCTCTGTGATGGTGCCCACCCCCAGGTTTGTTCCTTTTCTTGCAAGGATTGCTGGGACAGGATAATTTGGAGGCAATGACCTGCCCTGCCCTTTTCCAAGAGTGTGCTCCAGATTACCACCAGACTCTCCATCAGCATCACCAAGACCCTTTGAGTTATGGCAAGAAGCAGATGAGGCCCCTGGCCAGCATGGGCTCCAAGTATTCACCAGCTACACAGGGAAAGGAAACAAGCTGAACAGACCCACTTGAGGGCATTCCCTGTCCAGGAGGAACTGCAACAGACAGACCACCAGCCCAGAGAAGCCTCTAGAGACCTTGCTTGAATGGAAGGAGGAGGTGCTCTGCTACAGTTTCATCTCTTAAAGAGAAGCAGGGACTGAGTCATTAAAATCTTATCTATGTCATCCTCATTTGCTTGAACTTTTGTAGCTTCTTCTCCCACCCAAACTACCTCAAGAGAGAGCGGGGACTGGAGCAGCTGTGGGAGTCCCTGGCCACAGCATACAAAGCCCACTTGTTACCAGCACTGTCATATGCCTCTCTGCTCCCTCCCCCTTCCCAGCTCCACCACAACCGCTGCATCCCAACAGCACAAGCCGGGCATCCATCAAAAGGGCTATTATCCCATGATTTCTTAACAGCCACTGTAGCTCTTGGGTATGGAGAACCAAGCTCCCCCTTTGACACAGTGCCCCGAGCTAAGGAATAGCAGTGCCTGTCGCTGGCTGGCATTCTGATCTGCAGATTGTCACGGAAGCCAGGGTGGGATGGGGAGCTGCTGCCTGCACACGGGGTTGGGTTAGCAATTTAGGCCTTCCCTCCAGCCCTACAAGCTAGACAGGTCCTACAGAGTTCATGCTTTTGGCCTCCAGATGTTAGCAGTGAGGGTAACTCCCATGGAGGGCGGCTAAGAGACCACATCCTTCATTCTTTATGGCTGGTGCTTTTAATCTGCTCTTCCTGGACTGGGGGAGAAAAAGGGCACAGAAACAGTCACCAACCTCTGGAGTAGGCAAAGGGTCTGTGGTGCATGGAGAGGCAGCTTCCAGAGATGTGCACATGGACTCAGGCAACTTCTGACTGGCACCGGGCACTAACATCCCCAGAGCCTGCTGGAGGGTGCCCCTTGGCCCTTTCACCCCACAGGCAGTAGGTGCTGGCACTGGTTGCCCCTGCCTCCATCACAGGTGCCTTTTTCTTGCTGCATATGAACAGGCAAACTGGTGGCAGCACAGACAGAGCCACCTCTTCCACACACACAAGATCTACCAGCTGTGACACCATGGGCAAGGCTGGAGTCCTGGCAGGGATGGGCAGACACCCCAGCACATCAGGGACCATGGCCAGGAAGAGATCTGTGCACCACAAGTGGAAATTCAGATTTGCTCAACCACACAGCAGAGACGATAACTGCTAAAAGGTATCACCATTTTCCAGTTGCTGGGTATTTTTAAGTCTCTTGGAGTAAAAAGCACTACTGGCACCAGCAATCTTGGTAACTGGGCAACTTTGCTGGTCATGAGTGATACTGAACCCATCTCCAGAGGGCTTTGCTTCTTTTGTCTCCCCACAGAGACACTCATTGTGGGTTTGTGCTCTTTGCCTGCCTGCTCCCAAGGGGTTACTCTTACAGATGACTCTTTGAAAGCAAGACTCAGTGATGGCCTGTCTCCCTTCTGCCAGTGAGGGATGGCACTTGAAGCTCCAGTCATCCTAAAGTTTCCCTTTGTGCTGTCAGGGCTGCTCTGAGCCATGTGCCTCGTTGTGTGACAGTGTTCTGGAAAACAATACATTGGGAGACATATGGCTGGCTAGGATATGTAGTCATGTCTTAGCAGGCATTGTGTACTGCTTTCCACTTGAAAGGGCTTCTTTTCTGCCAGTTCTCTTGGACATTGAGAAAATACCAAAACTGGACAATGATGAATACTGTACTGAGGAAACCACGTGGTCTTACAGACACGTAAAATCCATCACACTTGGTCTCAGACCTTACGGAATAATTGTTTTATAAAAACTTGAGGTTGTTCAATTTTCTACTGGAATCTCTGGGCATTAACAGGCTGACTTCATTAGAAAAAAGAACCTTTAATTATCCTATAATCCCAAGGCCTCTGGCATGGGAAAAGATTTCCTACTTGGGGTAAACATCTCAGGAGAATTCACTCACTTCAGTGCTGTTCCAGTGTGAACATAGCATGAATTTTAAATCTGGTTTTTCTTCTTAAAGCTGTCCTAGACTCTTCACTAAGAAGGCTGGCTGTGAAAATTATAGTGCTCTTATTGAAAAGAGTGGAGGCCTATTTTAAAGTTTCAGGTATGAAATTCAGATACTTGAATTTGAAGAAGTTTACCACCCTCCAGGATTAGCCAGCCATGCAGCCACAACCTCATCTGCGCTAGTTAGAGCTGGGTTCTTTCCTCCAAACTTTCTAAAATAGAGAAAATGTCAGAAATTTGGGCCATTTGTTTTCCCAGCTCATTTCCCCCTCCCACAGATGAGCTGATCTGTGCTAGGAGAGGTTTCTGTCATGGTGAGGCATTTCTGAGAGATAATTTACTCAAACAACTAGGTGTGCTGGCACTGGGATCCCACACACAAAAAGATGCAGCAAATTGACTGTGAGTGGTTTGCTTGAAAGAAGAAGCGGGAGATTGTTAAGCAGATGTCTTCATGGCAATACAGCAAATTAAGTGGAGGAGTTCTGGGGTCTCTGGACTGTTTTAATAACTGATCAAAAAAGGAGAGAGAGAACATGAGCAGACAGCCACAACTGCAAAAGACCAGCCAGCCAGGATGTTTGCAAACTGTGCTACTGCCAAAATTCCCTGAAGGGGAAGAATTTACTGGGATGTTTGGTTCCTGAGAAAGATTTTTTTTTTTCTATAAGTGCTGTGCATATCTCCAGTTTCTGTTTTGTTATTTGGGGCTGGGATTCTCCATTATGCAAGCCTATTTGCCTTTTTAATCCACTATTATGTATGAGACTAGGAATGCTTTGTTGCACTAAGGAGCGGTGACTTAAGCAAGGAACTGAACTAAGGCCCTGACTAGGGCAGGGGGAGAACTGTTTTGGTTTTCCCTAGTTTTGAAGAATTTAGATGCTCAAAACTACACACCACAGAACAAGTACCAGGGTAAGTGAAGACGACTCCTTTTCCAGCCTGCCCTAAAGCATAGCTCAGACACTACAGTGAACAAAATCTCATCCTGTTCCCTTTTAATGAAGCCCAGCCTCCCACACCAGCAGAGGTTCGATATTTTCCTGAGATGCTGTCTGCAGTTTTTGCACAGTGAGGTCAAATCCTGATTTCAGTTACGGCAAACTTCTCTCCCTTCCACGGCATCCCTTCGAGACGAACTTCACCATGTCGTTGTCTGGAAAGCTGATGGGTGAAGATGAGTGAACCCTCTGAACTCTCAGGCTCCCAGTGCCCTCCAGCTGGATCACTACCGTCTTCAAGGCTGGTGTCGGGGGTGCGAGGTGGGTTCGTGGTAGGACCCTATGGGATCGGCGCGGGGCTGCTGGGTGTGTGGGTGTCTGCATGCCCCGGGGGCGGATGCCCGCCGGGATGTCCCTGAGGCAGAGCCGGTCTGCGGGAGCGCTGCCGGGGCGGGGGTGCAGCGGGGATGCGGCTGCGAGCCGCGTACGCCTGCCGGGGCGCGGGCAGAGCGCTTTGTGCGGAGCGGGGAGGCGCGGGGGGCGCCGCTCCCGCCCGGGCCGTGCCCACGCCGTGCCCGAGGGGCGGGACCGGGGCGGGACGGGGCGGGGCGGCCGCTGCCCCCCGGCCCACGCGGGGCCCCGCTCGCCACTCTCCGGTGGCGGCGGCGGCCGTGGCGGGCGCGGTGCGGAGCCGAGCGGAGCCGGCCGCCGCCGCGGGAGCCTGGTGAGCGGGGAGCTGCTGCCGGGGCGGGCACCGGGCCTCCGCCTCCCGGGACAAAGCCGGGCTGGGAGGGACCCCGGCGCCGCCACTCGGGGCCGGGGCGGGGCTGCCCGCGGCGGTGGGGCTGTGCCGCTGCCCACCGAGCATGCGAGCGGAGGGCCGGGGTGGGGGTCTGTAGCCGGCTCGGGGGTCTGTAGCCGGCTCGGGGCGCGCTCCGGTCCCGACCGGCATCGCCGCCCACCCCGGGAGCCCCGGCGGGCTCTGCCCGGTAAACTTTTCCCGGTCCTGGTTGGCGCCCGGCTCCCGGAGGGTCCGTCTGGCAGCCAGAGCTCCTTGGGCTGGGGGCTGGGGGCTTGGGGCTTTTCTTTGCGCCGGAGCATCCTTGCGCCGCAGCCCGGAACCTCTATCCTAGGGAACAGGTAGCCGGTACATCGGGTCCTCGCCGGTGCCCCGGGACGCGCGGGGGCTTCGGGAATGCCTCAGACCCTGGTCCTGGCTTTCGGCTTGCCCGGGGACAGACCCAGGTCCTGGCTTTCGGTCCCTTATCTCTCGCCGATCCCGGCCTGTTTCCCCGCGCGGCGCCGCGTGGGTTGGTGCGGGTGGATCCCTGGTGCCCAGCCGGCGTGCGGACACGGGCCCGCCCCGGGATCTGGGCAGCGAGAAATGACGGCTGGAGACAGGGAAACCCTGGTCTTTAACAGGCATTTGGCAGCGCCGAATATTAAACCAGAAGTGAAGAGTTTTTTCTGGCTTCGGTGCCTGCTTCCCTCCCTCTGATTTTTCTTTTTAATTTGCTGGCTCTCATCAGGACACTTGTTCAACTTCGGGTGATGCTGGACATTGCGTGCTAGATCTAAAAGGAAACAAAGGATAATATATTTTTAAAGCTGTTTTCCCTGCAAATACCATTAACCTCATTGAAGGTGATGGAATATGCCTGAGAGTGATTCGCTGCCCTTTGGTTAATTCAGACTCAATGAAGTCCATGAAAAAGCCTGTCTTAAACAGTGTCTTCCCTAAAAAGAGACACACGGCAATCTGATTGGTGAATCCCACTGATATTCCCTTTTTTCCCTGCTTTTTCAAGAAGCAGATCCTAATTTATTTGCCTGCCAGACAGAAGTCTGCAGGTGCTAATGGTTTAGCCGATCAAAGACACCCTTCCCATAGGTGCCACTTGAATTCGGAGATGCTTGTGGGTCAGTGGCTCTTTTCCCCTTCACTTTGTCCCACCCAGGCTCTTATTAGTTGTCTTTCTTTATGCCATGTAGTGTGGGTGGCTGTTAGAGGGGCTGGACAGGGCATCTCTGTGCCCAGAGGCAAGAATCTTTACTGCAGTGCAAGCTGGTTTAGGGGTGCATGCAATTGCAAAAGTGTCCATAGCTCTGGTGGTGTTCCACTATGCCTATGTGGAGGAAGTGCTTAAGGATCAGACTGGTAAATTTCGTTCATGTGCCTCCAGGATTGGAGTGTAAAAGTGCCTGTTCACTTGGAGACCCTCAGGAAAGGGACCTCAGTTTGCCTGGGGATCAGTTGGCCAGGGGATGACCTAAACTTGGTTAGATGAGGAAGGCTCTGTAGCCACGTGGAGAAATTGTGTGTCCTGACACCCTCAGCAGCCGGCTGCATTCTCTGTTTGATCTTCTTTCCCAATCCGCTGGGCTTTGCGGGAGTCCTCCTTGGAAGTATCTCCAAAGTTCTTAGTTCCAGGTTTAGTTCTACTGGCTAGAGTGCAATCAGACCTGGCCGGGAGGGGGGTGGCAGGGACAGGGACACAGGAATGCAGCAGGAATGTCTTGTTCCTGGGGCATTTCCCTCCTGGGGAAGGAAGATGGGAAGGAATCCTTGTCTGTAAGTAATCCAAGAGCAAAACGTTTCTCCCCTTGCAGACAATGAATCGTTTCAGCGAGCTGACACTGTTATTTGTGGCTCTTGGCAAACGAGATAAGAGCATTCTGCCAGACACTTGCTCAAATCAGTGCCAGCCCCAGCCCTGCTGATTGCCTTTCACTGGGTGGGAGAGAAGCCTTTGTGTACCACGGCAGTAATCACAGTGGTGCTTCTGGGTGAAGGAAGGTTGTTGCTGGTCCCCTTGGTTACACAGTCTCTGATTCTGGTCCTTGTGTCTCCAGGCCTTTTTATTTTCCAGAGGATGCCACTTTGGAGAAGAAATTTTTCCTGACTGGCTCTGCTTGTGGGGCTGTGAACAGCTATTTCCAAGACCCCTTTTCTTTACCCTTGATCTAAACCTTGCATGAGGCTGGTTTTACATGCTGATTAAGCAGGGAATTAAATCACATAGGAATGCTGCTCGCTTGATGTCTTCTCTATTACGGAGCTATGCTTAGAAGTTGAGACTTTTCAAGTGATTGTGTGGGCTTTAGCTAAGCTGTGAAAAAAGCCTTGTAAACAATATGCCTTTGTGATGAATGCAGAGTAAGTGTAATTATCACCCATCCTATTAAAAATCTTCCAGTCTGAGGGCATAATCAAGCTAATCAGACAGTGTTGTGCTTTTCCAGATGACTAGGTGATCCTTTCGAGTGGCTCGGGAGCAAATGCAAAATGAACAGTGGAGGGCAGTGCAGAAGACGCAGTGGGCTCTCAGTCTGACCCACGAGGATTTGAAGATGTCTGCGTGCAGTGACTTTGTGGAACACGTTTGGAAGCCTGGCTCCTGCAAAAACTGCTTCAACCCAAAGAGTTCCCATCGGCTGCAAACACCCCCAGACGTGGGAGCTTGTGGCGTGCTCCCGGATGGAGCTAGGACCAAGCCCGAGAGCCTCGTGTTGGAAGACGAAGGTATAACTACTTCCCCCTTCTCAAAGCCAACAATTGCTGTGAAGCCAACAATGATAAACTCGGATGTTTCTGACGCGTGGGCGGATGTGAATATGAATGCAGATCTGTCACAGGTAATGATTAATCCAGTCAAAGCATGACTTCCCGTTACTTACCTATCCTCAGAGTGCTAGGAATATCTGTTACAAACGCTTCCTTCCCTTTGTTTTTCCTTCTGGTCTTGACTCAGGATTTTAAGGCATATATTGGTTTCTCAGTGTATCTTTGGGTGAAGCTGAACGAGCTGTTGCTCACAAGCCATGTGCAGAGGAGCTTAAAAATACATTGTTTGTTTAGGAACTTCCGGTTTTAAAATGAGGATGCGGGTTATTTTTGTGGGTAGTTTTACTGAAAAGATGTCTTGTCTGGTTGCAGTCAGTGCTGACTGAATCCGTGGTCTTTGTGGGTGAGGAAGAAAGTGCCCTGCCTTCCTACTCCTTCCTACCAATCTTTGCCAGAGCAGTAATGCCCTGTGGGTGTAGCTCCTCACCCTGACCAGTTGATACCAGCAGTGCCTCAGCAGAGTGACGCACAGGCTGCTGCCCCACTGCCTGTGGCATAGGTGTGCTCCTATTTCCCCATGCCCCAGAGCACAGTCAGGGCTCACCAGCTCTCTTAGCCTCTCACTGCTGTCCCTTTCTTTTCCCCTAAGGGGTGAAGGGCACACGAGTGGGACCTGCCATTGTTGGTGGTGTTTGATCTGTGCCCCCCCAATCCCTACTTCTGAGCATGGCTAGGCTGCTATCCCAGGATAACCCATGATAGTCTGTGTCTGTGTTCTGGAGTCACACACTCTGGAGCAGTGTGAAATGAAAATAAGCAGAGAGAGGCGCAAATATTCCTTCGCCCTCTGAATCTTTAATTGCACAGTGATTCACAGACAGGATGACAGGTTGGACATGTTTCTGGCAGCAAACCCATAGGAAGAGAAAGGAGAATGTCTTATTCCAGTGCATTGCCATTGTTGGTAATGCAAGGATTACAAATCGTCCACAAAATACGACAAGTGTAGTTTTACCTGGAAAGCTTTGTGGAAATTAGTGGTGAGGTGAGCACAGCAAAATTGATGGTGAATTCCAGAGTGCTGTTCTGCAGAGCTGGGCTTTTGTTTTTGCAGTTTGTGGGTTTGCTTACATTTTATTTGTCTTTCCTTTTGCATATGCATGTTCTGACAAGGAATTTGTCTCTTTGACCCACGCAGGCCAGTTGGGGTGTGATTTCCGGCAAGCAACTCCTGCTGAAATCAGGAGATGCACAGCGCATCTGCCTTGACAATTTTGGCAATGGTGGTGTGAGAAAACCTTTCCTTCACAACCAGCCCAGCGACTGCTTGTCTTGCTGTCCTCCCAGCTACTCCATGGTGGGTCTGCGTGGCCTGGAGAGTCGAGTGGAGAGAAACGTCTCCATCCACAGCCTGGTACTTGTGGGTGAGGTGGGCAAGCAGGAGGACAGAGCTAAAGACAAGTTTGCCCTGCCTCATCAGGTCCCCTGCCCTAATCCATCTGCCTTGGGGGACAGAAGCACCACTAATTCCAGCAGAAACACTTCTTCCCAAGCCAGAGAAGGAGCGGCACTCCCTTCAGGGCATGACTGTGGTCACATCTCCTCTGTCTTGGAAAGCGAAGGGGGCGAGTACTGTTCAATCACAAACTGTCACAAAGAGCACCCTGTCCCATGGGAGCCCTGTTGCACAGAGGAAAAGGCTGCACAGTGTGAGAAGGAGAGTCACACTCCCAGCGGGTGGAGGCAGCGGGATGCTCCCGAGATTCCAAGGCCAAGTGGCCGGGCAGTCAAGTTCAGGGAAGAGGAGCACAGAGCTGTGAACGTGGCCTTCTGCATCACAAAAGACCAGAGTGATCCTCTTCCCTATGCCCTGTGTTCAGACAGGAAAAACCTGGCTCTCCACACTGAGCCTGCTACCCTCCCTGAGGCTACGGGGAGCTGCAAGGCGGCTGCCCTTGCTTTGTCCCAGGAGGATGAGGAGTTACCTCTCCCTGGGGAGCCATCTGTCACTGAGGGCTCAAGCATCCCTCAGCAGGCTCTGGTGGAGCCACAGCGCCCTCGCCTCACCGAGCCAGCCCATGGTGATCCCATCTATGCTGAGAGCACCAAGAGGAGGAAGGCACAGCTGAAGGCTGTTGGCAGCCAGGTAAAAGCAGAGAAGCTGGCCCACGGCGCTGCCAAGGAGAAAGCTGATGGGTTGTGGAGGGATGGTGGCTGGGCTTTGGGAGGTGAGAAGGAGCACCAGGACTCCACTGGCCAGGTGGCAGCAAAGATAACTATAATGACAGCACACACTGAGGATGATCACAAGACAATATTCCTCAGCAGCCCTGACTCAGCGGTAGGAGTGCAGTGGCCATGTATCAGCCCCACTTCCCACCCTGATT